TAGGAGGAGGTGCGGGATTACCAAAATGTTGTCCAGAGGGCTGAGGAAGGGTTGTTGAGGTGGTTCGGACATGTAGAGAGAATGGAGCGAAACAGAATGACTTCAAGAGTGTATCAGTCTGTAGTGGAAGGAAGGCGGGGTAGGGGTCGGCCTAGGAAAGGTTGGAGAGAGGGGGTAAAGGAGGTTTTGTGTGCGAGGGGCTTGGACTTCCAGCAGGCATGCGTGAGCGTGTTTGATAGGAGTGAATGGAGACAAATGGTTTTTAATACTTGACGTGCTGTTGGAGTGTGAGCAAAGTAACATTTATGAAGGGGTTCAGGGAAACCGGCAGGCTGGACTTGAGTCCTGGAGTTGGGAAGTACAGTGCCTGCACTCTGAAGGAGGGGTGTTAATGTTGCAGTTTAAAAACTGTAGTGTAAAGCACCCTTCTGGCAAGACAGTGATGGAGTGATTGATGGTGAAAGTTTTTCTTTTTCGGGCCACCCTGTCTTGGTGGGAATCGGCCAGTGTGATGATAAAATTTATATATTATATATATTATATATATATATATATATATATATGTATATTATATATATATATATATAATTTTTTTTTTTCCCAACAAGTTGGTCGTCTCCCACCGAGGCAGGGTGACCCAAAAAAAGAAAGAAAATCCCCAAAAAGAAAATACTTTCATCATCATTCAACACTTTCACCACACTCACACATTATCACTGCTTTTGCAGAGGTGCTCAGAATACAACAGTTTAGAAGCATATACGTATAAAGATACACAACATCTCTCTCTCTCTATAAATATATATATATTATTATATATATATATATATATAATATATATATATATATATTATATACCTGGAGAAGAGAGGAATGCAGAGGAGAGAGAGAGATTTTGGGAGATGTTAAGTGAATGTATAGGAGCCTTTGAACCAAGTGAGAGAGTAATTGTGGTAGGGGACTTGAATGCTAAAGTAGGAGGAAACTTTTAGAGAGGGTGTGGTAGGTAAGTTTGGGGTGCCAGGTGTAAATGATAATGGGAGCCCTTTGATTGAACTTTGTATATAGAAAGGGGTTTAGTTATAGGTAATACATATTTTAAGAAAAAGAGGATAAATAAGTATACACGATATGATGTAGGGCGAAATGACAGTAGTTTGTTGGATTATGTATTGGTAGATAAAAGACTGTTGAGTAGACTTCAGGATGTACATGTTTATAGAGGGGCCACAGATATATCAGATCACTTTCTAGTTGTAGCTACACTGAGAGTAAAAGGTAGATGGGATACAAGGAGAATAGAAGCATCAGGGAAGAGAGAGGTGAAGGTTTATAAAACTAAAAGAGGAGGCAGTTAGGGTAAGATATAAACAGCTATTGGAGGATAGATGGGCTAATTGAGAGCATAGGCAATGGGGTCGAAGAGGTATGGGGTAGGTTTAAAAAATGTAGTGTTAGAGTGTTCAGCAGAAGTTTGTGGTTACAGGAAAGTGGGTTGCAGGAGGGAAGAGGAGCGATTGGTGGAATGATGATGTAAAGAGAGTAGTAAGGGAGAAAAAGTTAGCATATGAGAAGTTTTTACAAAGTAGAAGTGATGCAAGGAGGGAAGAGTATATGGAGAAAAAGAGAGAAGTTAAGAGAGTGGTGAAGCAATGTAAAAAAGAGAGCAAATGTAGAGAGTGGGTGAGATGTTATCAACAAATTTTGTTGAAAATAAGAAAAAAGTTTTGGAGTGAGATTAACAAGTTAAGAAAGCCTAGAGAACAAATGGATTTGTCAGTTAAAAATAGGAGAGGAGAGTTATTAAATGGAGAGTTAGAGGTATTGGGAAGATGGAAGGAATATTTTGAGGAATTGTTAAATGTTGATGAAGATAGGGAAGCTGTGATTTCGTGTATAGGGCAAGGAGGAATAACATCTTGTAGGAGTGAGGAAGAGCCAGTTGTGAGTGTGGGGGAAGTTCGTGAGGCAGTAGGTAAAATGAAAGGGGGTAAGGCAGCCGGGATTGATGGGATAAAGATAGAAATGTTAAAAGCAGGTGGGGATATAGTTTTGGAGTGGTTGGTGCAATTATTTAATAAATGTATGGAAGAGGGTAAGGTACCTAGGGATTGGCAGAGAGCATGCATAGTTCCTTTGTATAAAGGCAAAGGGGATAAAAGAGAGTGCAAAAATTATAGGGGGATAAGTTGTTGAGTGTACCTGGTAAAGTGTATGGTAGAGTTATAATTGAAAGAATTAAGAGTAAGACGGAGAATAGGATAGCAGATGAACAAGGAGGCTTTAGGAAAGGTAGGGGGTGTGTGGACCAGGTGTTTACAGTGAAACATATAAGTGAACAGTATTTAGATAAGGCTAAAGAGGTCTTTGTGGCATTTATGGATTTGGAAAGGGGTATGACAGGGTGGATAGGGGGGCAATGTGGCAGATGTTGCAAGTGTATGGTGTTAGGAGGTAGGTTACTGAAAGCAGTGAAGAGTTTTTACGAGGATAGTGAGGCTCAAGTTAGAGTATGTAGGAAAGAGGGAAATTTTTTCCCAGTAAAAGTAGGCCTTAGACAAGGATGTGTGATGTCACCGTGGTTGTTTAATATATTTATAGATGGGGTGTAAGAGAAGTAAATGCGAGGGTCTTGGCAAGAGGCGTGGAGTTAAAAGATAAAGAATCACACACAAAGTGGGAGTTGTCACAGCTGTCTTTGCTGATGACACTGTGCTCTTGGGAGATTCTGAAGAGAATTTTGCAGAGATTGGTGGAATGAATTTGGTAGGGTGTGCAAAAGAAGAAAATTAAGGTGAATACAGGAAAGAGTAAGGTTATGAGGATAACAAAAAGATTAGGTGATGAAAGATTGAATATCAGATTGGAGGGAGAGAGTATGGAGGAGGTGAACGTATTCAGATATTTGGGAGTGGACGTGTCAGCGGATGGGTCTATGAAAGATGAGGTGAATCATAGAATTGATGAGGGAAAAAGAGTGAGTGGTGCACTTAGGAGTCTGTGGAGACAAAGAACTTTGTCCTTGGAGGCAAAGAGGGGAATGTATGAGAGTATAGTTTTACCAAAAGCTCTTATATGGGTGTGAAGCGTGGGTGATGAATGTTGCAGCGAGGAGAAGGCTGGAGGCAGTGGAGATGTCATGTCTGAGAGCAATGTTTTGGTGTGAATATAATGCAGAGAATTCGTAGTTTGGAAGTTAGGAGGAGGTGCGGGATTACCAAAACTGTTGTCCAGAGGGCTGAGGGAAGGGTTGTTGAGGTGGTTCGGACATGTAGAGAGAATGGAGCGAAACAGAATGACTTCAAGAGTATATCAGTCTGTAGTGGAAGGAAGGCGGGGGTAGGGGTCGGCCTAGGAAGGGTTGGAGGGAGGGGGTAAAGGAGGTTTTGTGTGCGAGGGGCTTTGGACTTCCAGCAGGCATGCGTGAGCGTGTTTGATAGGAGTGAATGGAGACAAATGGTTTTTAATACTTGACGTGCTGTTGGAGTGTGAGCAAAGTAACATTTATGAAGGGATTCAGGGAAACCGGCAGGCGGACTTGAGTCCTGGAGATGGGAAGTACAGTGCCTGCACTCTGAAGGAGGGGTGTTAATGTTGCAGTTTAAAAACTGTAGTGTAAAGCACCCTTCTGGCAAGACAGTGATGGAGTGAATGATGGTGAAAGTTTTTCTTTTTCGGGCCACCCTGCCTTGGTGGGAATCGGCGGTGTGATAATAATAAATAATATATATACATATATATACATGTATATATATCTATATATATCTATATCTCTATATCTTGTACATGCAAGTGTAGTATGACCTAATTGTAAGAAGTAGCAAGACTTTCCTGAAGTCTTGTATGTTTGAGACAAAGAAGACACCAGCAATCCTACCACCTTGTAAAACAAGTATATACTTTGTTTTAGCCACTTGGCAGGACGGTAGTGCCCCCCTGGGTGGTTGCTGTCTACCAACCTACTACCTACCATAAGTTTTTTGTCATTCATAATTATGCTATGCAAACAGTCATTAAACATAGTCCACTGCATCTCTTTTCAACATGTTTGCTCTTATGTCTCTTTCATAACTCTTAAATTCTACTGTATAAATTTTTATTTTTTAAATAGCATATGCAGTAGAACTTCGATTTTTGTATGCCCTAGTCTATGTAAGACTAGTTATTCTCTCCAAAATGTATTTTTTTTTTTTAATATTTCCCACAAGAACCAACAAGTCCATTTAATCCATTCCAGACACCCACAAATATTAAAAAATACATTTTATAGAGAATAACTAGTTCTACATAGACTAGGGCATACGGAAACCAAGGTGCCACTGTATAATCTGCTTTACAAAATGTAATTTTTAAATCTGTAGTTCTTGACTAATCACTTTGAAACCAGTATAAGCCAATTGCACATTCATAAGTTAAATAATTAATTTTGAAAAAAAAAATCCAGGAAGTGTTTTGTTCTGTTATGACTGTAAATCAAGCTTTCATAAGAAGCTAGTTTCAATGTTCCCAGTTTGTAAGTTTGGCTCGTACAGATATCACAAGCACCATATATACAATAAAAATTTAAATTGAATTTGTAATCCAAACCACAGTTTGATAAATGGGCAAGCCAAACCTCAGATTAAGTTGAATAGTGGGTTTTTGTTTTGACCCAGGTAGCTCAAGCCCTCCTCCATGCTAAAGTAACCCATCATCAAGAGGATTCTTTCTCCTGTAACTGTCTTGCATTAGTGTCAGTTTACTAGGAATGATTTTTGCCATGTTGGAAGAACTAGCTATTTGTATGTATGTATTTACATTTTGTGAAGCCCTATAAAGTGAATTATCTGAAGGTCTACTCAACCCGTCTTGCTGTCGCTGTATACTTCATTGTTAGCACTTTATGAATTTCCATCAAATGTATTAATCAAAGTGTTTGAGCCCTGTGTTTAATGTTTTTTGTTTTATTTTAAAAATATTTCTTATAATTTAATAAATTAAAGGAGTAATTTCTCCCACAGCACTGACAGCTGCAGTAACCTTGGTTATTCTCCTCTTCATTCTGGTCATCTACAACTTTAATGGAAGACAACGATCCAAGTACTTTGCATACCAAGCTGTCCCAAAAGACTTTTCTTAATGTAGTGTTAATGTTGTAATAAAGTTGGTAGAATTACCGACAATATGTAAAGTAAAAGGACACAAGTGCAACTAATGTGACATTTATTGTGGCAATGTTTCGCTCTCCAGGAGCTTTGTCAAGCCATGGCCATGGCTTAGTAATGGCTTGATAAAGCTCCTGGAGAGCGAAACGTTGCCACAATAAATGTCACATTAGTTGCACTTGTGTCCTTTTACTTTACATAGTGTTAATGTTATTTATATAATAGTGTCAATGCATCTCATGAGTTACATTTTGCATTGAAAATAAGTAATTCCTTTTAACCTCAGGAGGAACCATGATTGTGAATTTTAGTCATTGATAATATAGGTTGTAGACTTTGAAGATAACTTCAATGCATTGTTAGTTTAAGTATATTATAGTGCCAGGTTTTATAAATTTTCCTCTAAACACTTTTATTTTTGATACTGTACTTATGAAATAAACTGTTGTCCACCATCTGGAGACTAGATCAAAAATTATATGGTGGCCTAATGATTTATTTTAGTATGTAAATTTTGTGCTTGCTATAGACCAGCACATGTGAAAAGTTGATTAACACAATCTGTGTTAACATTAGTTATTATTAGACACACATTATATAAGTACATATTGTATAAATCAGATTTAATAAAATGGGGAAACAGTTTTAACTTGTTTCCTGTGTTTACATAGAGAATATAAGAATTGTATTAGATTAAATCTCAGTATAAATGAAGTGTATGGCAGAATTGTGATTGTCAGAAGAGGATGTGCAGATAGTGATAGCATTGAAACACGAGCAAGTAGTACTAAATAAGGAAAAGGAATTGTCTTATTTATAGGGTTGAGAAATATATAGAAGAGGAATGTTGTAAATTATGAAATAGATGGTAAGCTGTTAAAATCTAAGTTTTTATGAGTGGAGAGAGGAACAGGTGTTTAGGAAAAAATGGGGAAGTTTTTCAATGAAAGTGGGTTTTAGAGAAGGGTATGCATTGTCATACTTGTTCAGTGTGTTTTAAAGAGGGTTGTTAGGGAGAAGTGTGATCTTGAAAATTAATGTGATAGTGGTTATAGTCAGTTGTTTGTGAATAATAATCAGGAAGAGAATATGCAGAGGATAGTAGTTATTTAGGTGTAGAAGTAGGAATTTAAAGTGAATTGCTAAAAACAGCCAAGAGTTGAAACCAGAAATGTAGGAAACCAAGAGTAGAGTGAGGATTGACAAAGTTAGTGGGTTGAGAAATCTGAAATAAATTCTTTTGTTTGGAAACACTTGTATGGTTTGAAGGATGGTTTTTAATGTTGCAGGAGGTTGGTAGCAGTGGAAATGTCATATCTTCAGTCAGTTTGTGGTGTGAATATTATGCATAGTATAGAAGGAATGAAGAAATTAGACTGGTGGTTTGGGTTTTAATTCAAAGGCTGGATGAGGGGTTGACATAGTTTAAGAATGTGTGGATGGAAGGGGGGTGCAGAGTATGGGACATCAGAGGAAGAACTGGAAGGAGTATGTACAGTAGAAGCCCCGTATCCACTGATTGGTATCTGCGGTTTATCCATGGTTTACTGTGGCCCAAAAGTATCTCTTAATTTTGCATAATAATAGCCCCAAAGTACAGAAGTAGAGAAGCTGGCAGTTCTTCAAAGCCTAAGTAAAGTAATAATTCTCCGCTTATTGGGCATAATTTAACAATTTAACTTTGATAGGTATGTATAGGATTTGTACATATGGTTTGCTATTATCCATGGTTTCGGTATCCGTGGCAGGTCCTTGGAACATCTCTCTCGTGGATACGGGGGCTCCTACTGTATATGGAGGAAATAGAGGAACGGGTGGGGCTGAAACCCCTGGCAGGGCGACTCCAAAAAAATGAGTGTTGAATTTTTACATTTAGTAATTTATACAGGAGGAGAACTACTAGCCCCTTGCTCCTGGCATTTTAGCCACCTCGTACGACATTCATTTGTGGCTTAGAGGAAGGATTCTTCTCTACTTCCCCATAGAGAATGTGTGCATGCATGCGCACGCTGTGACTACCCATGCAACCACAACTAGGTGAGCGCACACACACACACACACACACACACACACACACACACA